ATTCACTAAAACTGCTGCTTGTGTGTTTTGGGTATTGTACGCTTTGAAAATTGATGGGTGTAATTTTGGGTTTAATACTATTTAAAGTCAATGTACATAAATTATATATATATGTGCAATTATTAATTATAAATATTGATGATATCATGCTTTCTTTATCTTAATTCTAGGTCTGTTTCAAATAATTGCTAAGTTAATTAGACAATCTGCTCCAAGTGAGAAGGCTATTGAAGTGAGGAAGATGTTTTTATCAGACATGATATTATTATTCAATCATAGTAGAGAAAACAGAAGGTAATGAAATGAATGCCACTTCCTGTAGGCTGTTGTTAATATCTTGTATTTCTTACCACCTTGTGCCATTCAGGCTGTAGAACAAAAGTCATTAATACCGTATTTGCTCTATTAGACATGCTCTCCAGTAGAGGTGCACATAAATCAAAAATTGAATTTAATGTGTGCAGAAAAAATACAATAATGGTTGTTTATATACATCTGTCACGATAACGCCATAAGTTACAGCGTGCCGTAATTTTGCGGTATTTAACAAGGTATTTTCATCCTACCAAATTAGGAAATGCAAATTCCAAACATGGAATAATTACAAGCGTAATAAAAACAAACATGGCTGCCACCAGGGTTTGACCGGACCCCACACAAAGAAGTTCGCTAAACTTTTTGGATTTCGACATTCCCATGATGTATCCTTGGAAGAAAAAGATGTATAATAATAAGGTTATTACAAGGATATCTCAAAGTATGCACTCAAGACAGTACCTCATCACAGCGATCTCGTGTCGGTCGATACTCCTGTTGTACTGTCTTTATGCATACTTTGAGGTATCCTCGTAATATCCTCATATATAACAAACACTTACTTTTTTCAACTGTATATCTTTGTTTGTATTTGTTGTTTTCTTAATAGGATCCTATTGCAGTGTTCTGTTTGGCAAGATTGGATGTTGGGATTGGCCTACATCTATCCCAAGAATGACGATGAGAGAAAAGTAACAGAGATGGTGTATTCCTTACTCCGAATGTTGTTGCATCATGCTATGAAGTTTGAATGGGGCGGATGGAGAGTCTGGGTTGACACCTTGTCTATTATACATTCTAAGGTACATGCCTTTAATATTAATCCATTAGACACTGTCAACACTTTGCTGCAACACTTGTATAATTTCTTAAGACCAGATGGTAATTTTTGATTGCCTACATATCTTAAACAACACTTTAATTTAAATATGGATAAAATATGAGAATTTATTTTATGAAAGATGACAAAAATTTACTTGGTGTTCAAAGGGTCAAGCTGAAGAGTATATTCTGTCCAGCTTTGTACTTCAGTGTATCACTTAAGAATTAATTAATCTTAATTAATTATGAAAGATATTAAAGTATATTTTTATTTGTGGCCTTGCACCCATACCACCTCCAACATCTATCCATCTTTTTTTGTGCCTTGAAGCAACATGTCATCGTATAGTGCATACTGCCAACCTGCCTTATCTCTAACCCTGATTCTTTTCTTTTTGTTCTTGGTAGGTCTCTTTTGAAGATCACAAAAGTCAACTAGCCAGGATTTATGAGCAGTATCAGAAACAGCACAATAGCCGTGTTGTCAATGTATCTACTACAGTATCAGGAGCTGTTGATGCACACATTGGTGATCAACTATCTGATGATGTGTCAGTAAGTACATTGGCACTAATGGCTGGTGGCAGTGCAGATATGAAGATGTCCGAAGGCGGGGAAGTTGCTCGTCCCAGACCTAGTCATCCTGAGATTAACACAAGAGAAAAAGAAGTGAAAGAATTTCTTGATAGTGTTATTGACCAGGTCGTGGAAAGAGTGAATGCCCTCCAAGGTGATGCTATAAGCCCAACTGTAATAAAAGACAGGGAAGCAGAAGAAGACAGAGAGAAGAAAGTTGGAGAGGTTGTTGGTGAACAACATATAAAGGATGGTATTGAGGCTATGAATGATCAATGTATAGGTACGGGGGATTTTGATGAAGCACAGGTTGAAAGGACTAGTAACAATGATGCAAACACAACAAATCTTACTTCAGTTGATGCTTCTCATGAGAGAAATGATGCAAGTGTTATTGCAGAGTCATCACAGAAGAATAAACCAAAAGATGAACAAGTGGACAGTATGGAGAAGGAAGCTGATCTTGGGGATGAAACAAAAGTAATTGAAACTAAACTGGTTGGGGAAGAGAAACAACTTGCAGAGGAAGCAGATTCAAGTGCTGCAGAACCATCATTGTCTAGTCATTCAGACACTGTTGGAAAGAAGACAGACAAGGTTGAGGAAGATAAAGCTGGAGATAATGCTGGAGATAAAAGTGAAACCTCTGCTAAAGCTGACAAGAAAGTAGATGCTGCATCATCTCATGTCTCTCTAGAAGGAAATAAATTAGATGATGAACGGAATGCAGCAGAAGCATCTGCCATCAGTTCTGAGGATAACGTTACCATTCCAGTGGTAGAGGAACATACTGAGGTTCCAGAAGCATCTGAAGATAACACTGCCAAGGTGACGACTTTAGAAGAGCATAGTAAGATATCTGAAGCAGTCTGTAATCAAGATAACAGTCATGTATCAATGGTAGAAGAACATAGTAAAGCACCAGATAACATTACAGCTGAAATCCCGGTATTAGAAGAACATGATGAGATGTCAGAAACAGCTGTCAATGCTGAGGGTAATGTCACAACTAAGGTGTCCATTTTAGAAGAACACAGTGAGGCATCTTTAGAGAGTATGGATACTGGAAGTCAAGAGACAACACCAACCAAATCAATGTCTACATCACAGAGTGAAAGCGTCACAGAAGTTAGCAGCCCTAGTGGAAGCTCAGCAGCATCACAGAGTAGCAGTGCCCCTGAGAGTGCTACAGCATCACAGAGTTCTAGCACATCTCAGACGCCAAGCCAGGCGGCATCACTCAGCCCAACCTCTTCACTCAGTCCTACAGGTTCTCAGAGTCCTTCATCTTCTCTCAGTGTTCGTTCATCACAGGGAACCCAGACTGCTAATAGCTACCTCCAGAGGACATACTTCCAGACCGGTGCCAGACCTAGATCTGGTTCCCACCCAGCTCAAAATTTCAGTCCTGGTCCACATAGGGTGCCATACCGGATTCCAGAGTTTTTCTGGTCCCACATGCATCAGAGGATGATGTCTGATTTACTATTTGCTATTGAAACTGATATCCAAGTCTGGAGAAGGTTGGCATTTGTTTTCTCTTTCTGAATATACTCCATTTAGATAACATATGAAACAAAAACAGTTCATTCAGTATCAGTTATTGTATACTATATTTTTTGTCATGTTATTAAATATAAAGTAGCATATTTTAATTTACTAAAAATAATTTTGATTTTTCATATTGTTATATTTTTCCAGTTTGCCAAGAGGCTAACTTAATAGGTTACGAAAAACAATGTGGTATTATTCACCTTGACTAAATACATTTTGTCTTTAGTGGAAGCAAAGTTTAGTTCAGAGTAATATTTTATATTCTTACCCTCATTTTTTTCTTTGCACATTTCAGTCAAAATACTAAGACTGTGATAGACTGTGTGAACTCAAGTGAAAACATCGTCTTTGTACAGAATGTTACACAAATGATATCACAAATCTCTGACAATCTTATTTACTCCTGTGGAGGTATCCTTCCTCTCTTATCATCCGCTACATCCAGAACAGTAAGTAAATGTCTCCCTCTACAGACAAACATTAGGTGTTCGTAAAGTTTTAATTTTTACTAAATATAAGAATCAAATTGAAAGGAAACAACTCAAACAAAACTTGTATATTTACATTTGCTCATAATAACCCCTCTTCTGAAGTGAATTAATGTTTTTTTGTCATGTTTCAGAATGATCCTGATGTGATAGAGCCAACACAAGGCATGCCTTTAGAAGTGGGTATATCATTTATTCATCGCATTATGAATCTTGTGGATGTGTTGGTGTTTGCCAGCAATCAAAACTTTGCTGAGCTGGAAGCTGAAAAGAACATGTCACAGGGAGGGATACTCAGACAGTGTTTACGATTGGGTAAGATAACACTGATAGGACTTCCACTTCAGAGTTGAAAGGACACTTATTTTCAAAGCAAAATGTTGCCATGGCATATATAAATACCTGGTTTTATGAAGGACACCAAGGAAAATTCCTAGTGCATCTACGTCTCTGTAATGTTTAACCACTGTACAGTAGATACAATCTCTTGATTATCTATGTCTCCAAATTAGGCTTTTCAGATGTCTGTACTGTCTTATATTGTTACTTTGTAACATACCAGGAATATACATGCATCATTCAGTTTTTGAAGGTTGAAAAAGGCCGTGTTACTTTAATACAACACCTCCTAAAAACAAATACAATATGATTTTTTTGTTTTGAACACAGAGGGCAGCATTAGAGATGTGTTCTAACTGACGAGTTTATGATTCAATTCACCTTTCAGTCAGTGATAGTCTTGATGACCATGTGTGCTCAAATACATTCATTTATGTGAATAAAAAGCATTCAGTAAACATGCAGATAGGTTGCTACTTGTATTTGTTCTGTATCGCCCAAAGACGTCTTTTAATATGTCATATGACTTAAACTTACACAAATAACCTGAAATACATTGTCATTGTTTCTTGTGTACATTTCACCATTTTGATGCCATATTGCATGGATTAAAGGCTCATGGTCCTTTCAGGATTTGAGTAAATTAATTTATTATTCATTTCAGCTTGTTGTTGTGCAATACGGAACTGTTTAGAATGTCGCTATCGAAACAGACCGAGACCAAGGCTTGGTAGTGTGCCGCAACAATTGCCATCTGCTGTACCAGAGACAAAACAGTCATCACGACAGAGAATACAGTCTCTGATAGAAGGGACACAACCTTCTGCCAAGGTATGGCTCAAATGATTTTTGTAATGTGTTAGTTGTCATGACAATAATAATAATACAGTATTAATAAAATGGTGATTATTACACTGGGGTTTTATGGTGATAAGGATAATAAAATGACACAGAACACACCAAGTATTCTATTAATAACTGAATTATGCACAAAATTGAATATTAACACTTTGAAGCCATATTATACCGCCAAGATGCTGGTGGAACATTTTGCCCATTTCTGTGTATTTTTATTATAATTTATGTTAATTTTAAACCAAGTTGACATAATTCCCTATAAGGCTATTGGCTTTGATCAAAATTTTAAGAAAAATAAATTGAAAAACGTTTATTTTGTGAAATACTTTACTTTGGCATTGAAAGAGTTAAGCATGTTTGATGGCGTAGATATTAAATGTTTGGGTGTACCTAGGAGTATATGGCATGTACAAAAAAGACTAGTGGCATTAATAAACAATTGTGGGATACATTTACTGAGTAATTAAGTATATGTTAATTTCTTAATCTAAGTTGTTATTAGTATTTCATGTGTAAAGCCAAGGATTTATAAGATAACGATATGCAATGTGATGAAGATATCAAATCAATGCAATCACAGAGTGCAGTGGATGCATGGAAAAGTTCAATTGCATAATAAAACAATATTATGCAAGATTATCGTCTTATTCAAAAATTTTAAATACATTTAGTACATGCTGTGTCAATAAGAAAGGACACTAGCAAAACAGTTTGAAATTTGATTTTTCATAGACAGACTAATTTGCATATTTGTATGTATGTTTGTCATGAGAAATTGTGTTCACCTTTCAATTCACATGACTAATCCTGAGTTGTCATCAGTTCTTCATCATATCATATACTGCATGTATTCTCTCATCTTAAAAATCCAAGGTAATACCTATAAAGGAGTCATCCAATAATATAATGTCTTATGCTTGGTGGTGCCGTATTGTTTCATAAACATCATAAAACTTTGGTGTCAGATTTCAATGCACCGGCCATACCATTATCAGACCAGCATATGTTGGAATCTTTACTGTATAAAATTGGCTGATTTTACGAAGATAGATTACTTGAAACTGGTACATTGTAGTAGTCTATTTTTGTGGGTTGTATAAACCATTTCTGATTTACATACTTCAAATACTAACATAATCATATAATAAGTAAAATGTTGTTAAACTTACGATTTTTTGATTTTCCATTTGTATTCCATCTTGCACCCCCTATGATAATGGTATGATCCAGCACATTGTGATACCGAAGTTAAAAATTCATATAGATAACTGGTTAGACCATTTTGCAATTTACGTTTATGAAACATACATGTATGGCACCCAATGTACAGTAATTATGGAGAAATGTCGGGATGTGTACCCTTGTACCAGCATGTACACATTGGGGATCTTACAAGTGCCAATATTTATAGCCTTTGAGAGTCATAAAAGTGCCAGGATGTATAACCTTTGAGGGTCACAAAAGTGCCAGGATGTATAACCTTTGAGGGTCACAAAAGTGCCAGGATGTATAATCTTTGAGGGTCACAAAAGTGCCAGGATGTATAACCTTTGAGGATCATAAAAATGCCAGGATGTATAACCTTTGAGGATCACAAAAGTGCCAGGATGTATAATCTTTGAGGGTCACAAAAGTGCCAGGATGTATAACCTTTGAGGGTCATAAAAATGCCAGGATGGGTAATCTTTGAGGGTCATAAAAGTGCCAGGATATATAACCTTTGAGGGTCATAAAAGTGCCAGGATGTGTAATCTTTGAGGGTCATAAAAGTGCCAGGATATATAACCTTTGAGGGTCTTAAAGTGCCAGGATATATAACCTTTGAGGGTCATAAAAGTGCCAGGATGTGTAACCTTTGAGGGTCATAAAAGTGCCAGGATATATAACCTTTGAGGGTCTTAAAGTGCCAGGATATATAACCTTTGAGGGTCATAAAAATGCCAGGATGTATAATCTTTGAGGGTCATAAAAATGCCTGGATATGTAACCTTTCAGGGTCATAAAAGTGCTAGGATGTGTAACCTTTGAGGGTCATAAAAGTGCCAGGATATATAACCTTTGAGGGTCATAAAAGTGCCAGGATGTGTAATCTTTGAGGGTCATAAAAGTGCCAGGATATATAACCTTTGAGGGTCTTAAAGTGCCAGGATATATAACCTTTGAGGGTCATAAAAGTGCCAGGATATATAACCTTTGAGGGTCATAAAAGTGCCAGGATGTGTAACCTTTGAGGGTCATAAAAGTGCCAGGATATATAACCTTTGAGGGTCTTAAAGTGCCAGGATATATAACCTTTGAGGGTCATAAAAATGCCAGGATGTATAATCTTTGAGGGTCATAAAAATGCCTGGATATGTAACCTTTTAGGGTCATAAAAGTGCTAGGATGTGTAACCTTTGAGGGTCATAAAAGTGCCAGGATATATAACCTTCGAGGGTCTTAAAGTGCCAGGATATATAACCTTTGAGGGTCTTAAAGTGCCAGGATATATAACCTTTGAGGGTCATAAAAGTGCCAGGATATATAACCTTTGAGGGTCATAAAAGTGCCAGGATATATAACCTTTGAGGGTCATAAAAGTG